TTAAAGAAATTTTATATGTTAGCAAAACATTTTTTAAAGATTTCTCAAGAACTACTAGGCCGATTTTAGCATTTTCATCACTATTAGATATGTCTTGATAAGCTCTACAACTTTTGTTAGAAGCCCAAGAGTAATTTATTTAGTAAAAAAAAGTTTTAAAAGAAATCTCTCTATATTTGGCTTAATAGTAAAATTTACTTATAAAATTTGCAGATCCTCTTCAGATAATAAATAAATTGTCTATTAAAATCATTTAAAAAAAGGTAGCTTATTTTTGGCAATATATAGTATCTCTATCTCTTGGTTATTACTAGTCAATTTTGATAAAGTATCAGCATTACAATACTTACAACCAAGCTGATAAATAATAGTAAAATTATATAGCTCCAATCTAAGGATCTATCTTGCTTGTTTATCTTTCAATTTTGAGATTTTTAACCACTATAATGACAAATAATCCGTGATAAGAAAAACAGCTTTAATTTTAAGTATTAATAAAAATACTCTACTGCCCAAATGACAACAAGATATTCTAGCTCAAGTATAGAATAATTTTGCTTAGCCTGATTTAAACTGTGACTAGCATATACAACAACATATTTCTTATTATTCTCATCTAGTTGTACCAATATAGCACCTAATCCTAAAATAGAGGTACTAGTATAAAGATAAAACAGTCTACTAAAATCAGAATATTGTAATACTGGAGATATAATTAAATAGTTTTTAAAGCTTAAAATATCTTTTCTTAAGCATCGGTTTAATGATATAGCTTATCTTTTTTCAAGAGTAAATTTAAAGGTTTGGCGATTTTTGCAAATCCCTTAATGAATTTTCTATAATATAATGTAAAATCTAAAAATGATTGTATTTTTTTACTATGGTTAGAATGGTAAAGTTTTTAACTTTCTAAATCTTATCATCATCAGATTACATATTCTAAAAACCTGATTTTATTTTAAAAAAATAAACACTTTTTAGTATTTAATTTTAGATCTGTTTCTGTGATCTTTTTGAATACTTGTTGAAAGTGCTCTGTGTGATCTTCAAAAGTTTTAGAATATATTGTGATATTATCCAGATACACTACTGCAAACTTGTTGATAAAGGGATCAAAAATATTATTCATCAAATGTTAAAAGGTAGATAGTATATTATACAATTTAAATGGCATTAAATTAAAGCTATAAGTTTCAAATTTAGTAATAAAAGTAGTTTTAAATTAGTCTTCTTCTCTAACTGCTACTTGCCAATATCTACTAGCTATATCAAGACTAGTAAACCATTTGGCATCTTCGAATACTGTTAAAATTTTATTAATATTAGATAAAGGATAAACATCTTTTTCTGTTATAGTATTTAATTTATCATAATCAATGCAAATTTTCTTGTTACTATTCTTTTTTAGAACAAGAACTATAGGTGACATTTAGAGATTTTTAATTAGTCTAATGATCCTTTATTCTTTTATGGCTGATATCTCTTTTCAAAAAAATTTTTGCTTATCTCGAGACATACTATATGGGTATTGTTTGATTGATAAGGTATTTTTAGTATTGATTTCATAATATATCAAGTTGATATGTCTAAGCCCAACTATCTGACCCATCTTACTAATCTTTTCTGCAAAGATTCTAATATTTTGGTATAACAGATTCTGTATTTGTTGTTGTTGATCTACTAAAAGGTCCTTATTTATATCAAAAAGAATTTTTTTTTATTCTTATTATCCCTTAAACTGTAGGCTTTTCCAGGCAAATTTGCCTGGAAAATTATCATAAATATGGTTATGATCTACT